CAGTGTATCTAAAGGTTTTAAACACAGCTTATTGGATTCAGATATGTGGCTTTTATCTATGGGTTGTGACCGTGGCAAGAGCAACCAGTCTCTAAACAAAGAGCCTAGCATGCATGTGTTCATACACCTGAGCATTGTGAAACAAGAATAAACTATAACATCAGACTGCTCTCTGTGCATTTCATCATAACAACAAGACACGATCTTCAGTGGTTGGGCAAAAAATACTAAATTGAGTAGACTAGAATCAGAGAGCCCATCCTGCCCAAGCTGAGCATTTTTTTCACTTGCCAAGTTTACTGATTTTTTTTCTCAATAAGATCTCAGGAGCTAGCTTCAAGTACCAAAAAAAAAAAAAAAAAAAAAAAAAAAAAAAAAAAGCAGTTCCCAGCTGCAGTTCCCATTGGTAACAGCAAATTGCTTTCTGTTGCAAGAAACTGTAATGCCTGTAGTCTCCATTTCCCCCTGCCTCCTTCACTGTTCTGAAGGAAACTGGTGGTCTTACAGCATCCTGGGGGTGGTCTGCAGACCTCCTCTTAGCTGCAGTTGCTCTGGCTCCTGTCTATGCTCCAATCCATTCATACCCAGTTCAGTGCCACCCACAGTGAACAGTTGCATGTGAATATCAGAAAATCCTCTGAAAGATGCCAGCTCTATCTTCCTTTGATGTGCCATATTAGGTCCTAATGGGCCAATTTCTTCCCTTGCACACATGCAGCTCCTGCTGGTTTCAACTGAGGCTGCAGATTCAGTACACACGGTGTAACACTAAGCTGAGACTAACCACAGTTTCTGAGTAGAGTTCCCTTCAGTACAGGGATTTATGTTCTTCAGTGCTGCAGCTATACCTGTTTCTGGAATCTTTTTCCCCAGAGGAGATTTTTTTTCCCCAGAAGAGTCCATATCGATGTGTAAACATATTTTCATGGGTACTATTGCAAAAGACTAATTGTGTCAAATACTTCTCACTGCCTGGGGAATTTTCTGTACTGTGTTTATAAATTATAAACATGTAGACACAAGCCTCTTCTAAATAAACTAACCTGGACACCTACCAGAAATATACCTAGAAATATAGGAAAGGATCCAAGATGCAAACTCATAAGAAGACTGGGTAAAGATTCCTTGAATTTATCCGTGCTATGTTCTGTAGTGGGATAGTTGCACTCTTAGCAGTACCTAATGATATAGTTTCCAGATAAATCAGCTTCAGCAAGTGGTATGAATTGCAGACATAGTACAGACCTCAGCAGAGCCATCCCTCAAACAGTGACTGTTAAGCGTATGAAGTTATTTGCAGGATTAAATCTTAATTATACCGTAGCTGTTCCGCTCCTCCATGCACCATATGTGTAGATGGCAAAGCCAGGTTAGCAGAACATGACATCCACATGCCTGTGGATTTTTTGTTCATTTTTTAATAACTGACATATATTTTATGGTAGGATTACAGTGATGAGCTGGGTGCAGTTCTGAAAGCAATCAGAAGCAGTTATTTACATATACTTTTGAAAAAAGCACCACATGTTGAACCAAAGGCAGTTTATAAAGCACACAGGGTAGCCAGAATACTTCAGAACAATCCTTTCTATAACTTCTCAAGATTTTTTGAAAAACATATAAATATTCAACTGTCAGTACTGACCTGAAGGTTTCTTGTGTTGTGTGCACACATGCTGTACTTTTTGCCAAGTATATTGGCACAGGATTATCCCAACAGCAAAGGCTATATTAAATTTTATATAGCAGACACTTACAGAATTTGTACCCACATCACTCATTCTGTAACAGCCTGCAATTAATTTGTTGCAGAAGGATAACAGATTATTCATCCATGAGTGGTAAATTTAATACAGGCTGGAAAATCTGGTGAAAAATCTGGGATTGGGCTATTCTCAGCTAGTTCAGACAGTGGTGTTTTGATAAGATAAAGCAAGGCAAGACAAACTGAGACAATACAGAGCAAGGATAAGCAAGGTGCAAAGCTAGGTGGAGTCTGGTGGTTTGCAAAATCCCTTATCACGTTCATGGTAAGGAGAAGTTATTTTGCTACCATCGTTGAATTTTTCTGTTTGTAATTGCTATTATTAGATTATTGGCTCAGATAGCATCTGCTCAGATGAAATAGAGACAATGGTAGTCCAGTGCAGGTTAAATGAGGAGATTAATTGCTCTGTAGTTCCTTGCTCTTTCCTTCGGTGCCTTTTTTTTCTCCTCTGACCTCGTGGCTTCTCCCTTTTGCAAGGTCATGTAATTTGCAGAGCTTGTGAAGTGTGCAGTTTCCCCAGCACACTGATTGCCTTGGCATTTGTCCCTCAGAGTCATAAGGCCTAAAGCTGTGACAGTCCAACAGGCATTTTACTCTGCCATGTTTTCTGGCAACAGGGTGGGAGAGGAGCTCTGCCAAAACCATCAGTGAAATGAACTGACTTCACAGAGCTGGTTATTTTAGATTTCAATGAATTTAGGGACAGAAGAGACAAGCAAAAACTGTTTCATCTGGACCTCAGGTTTGTCCCAAAACATTAAATATCTGCAACCCTAATTCAAGAAGCTGTTTCCCTAAGAATTGTTCCATATAATATTTAAATCCCAACTCCATTGTCTAATTTTAAGCTGGTACTGAGGAGCTGAAAACAGGACAGAACAGGGGGGCAAATGGGAGGTGACAGTGAGCCCCTAAAACCCTTAACTGCTCTCCTCCTCATGCAGCCAAACATGTTATTCATAATAAGAATACTGCATGGGCTCAGGTTCAATCTGGGGCTCACTTTCCCACCAGGACTACAACTGCACCAGTTCCCAGCCTGTGTTAAAGCCTGGACATTCCTGTCTCAGGTACAGAACTTTGCACTTCTCTTTTTTTGTACTTCAGGAGTTTTCTGTTGGCCCTGTCCTCAAGTTTACCCGGTTCCCTCTGAACTGAATCTCAGCAACTCAGCTTTTCACTGACTTCCCCTCATTTATTATAATCCTCAAATTCCCTGAAGGTATGTTCTGCCTCATTATCTTATTATGGAGTAGCAAACATTGCAGCAATGTTCATGGCACAAAAGGTAAGGGATGAACAGAGGACTCCAGATTCTGAGATTCCCACGCCAGGAAGACACATTCCACAATGTTCAGCCAGATCTTCTTCCCTCTTTGCACACAGGCTGTGAGCCATCTTCTGTCTTTTCTTACAGATAGGCCAGTATGAGTAAATCATTCCAATATTTAATCATTCTCACTGTTAGGAAATTCTAACTCATTTCAGTTTTTCTAAGGAATTTTTTTCTGCCCTTTTGCAACTGTTTCAGATTTCAATCTGAAGCCTTAATACTCTATTACATTAATTGATATGGGAAAGCAACCTCAGATATAGACTATCAATGTTTTTTCCCCATGTTTTTGAAATTAGTATTTGAATTTTTTTATTTCTCTGAAGAGAGAAAAAAATGAAAACATTGCATATCTTTTCTCACTTTATTTGTAATTTTTGAAATTTTACGTTTAAGAAAAAATTAGATCTATTCCACTGTATGATATTAAGACTATACTAAGGCAGCAAGAGACTATTTTCCAAGTGTGTTTTACAGATCTATATGGTTTTCAAATGGTGATGATTGTGCACAATGAAATTGCCTGAGTCTGATACACATGAGAGACAGCAGATGTGAAATCTTTGGAAATTGCTTCAATAAGTTAAGTTAACAAGCTCTCAGCCTACTCTAGACCTCATGTATTTCTTCTCAAAAGCTCTTGGTTTCAGAGTTGTGGAGTATGGTGTGGTGCTAATAAAGCCAACTCAATATTGCTGTCTCTTCCTACAAAGAAATCTGGTTTTAAAGAGTTTAAAAACCACATTAGTGAAAATTTGCTTGCATACTAACTTAACAAACAGAAATTATGACCTGTTTGGGTTACTGCTGTTAATTGCTTGGTTTTTCTTTCTTCCAGTACTTATTTTCCATATATTTTCACAGCATCTGGAATTGGTACTAATCTTTGATGAGAAAGTCAGAAAAGTGAGAAGGTAGGAATGGTAAAACACTGCAATATAGGTTTCCCATATACGTTGCAGCTGCTCTGTACTTTTCTGGTGACACACAGCAGCCTTAAATTACTTAATCTAGTTTTATAGCTGTCTTGTATCACTGGGGTAACATAAAACCACTGGAACTTATTGGTGAATCTGGTCCTGTGACTATGCTTTTGGCCAGATCTGACTTTTATTTTTACCTGTGTCATTCAGCAAAAATAATTCTTTTGCCCTCAGCAGAGTAGTACCTTGTGCATGCATAAGGAAGTTAGAGCCTACCTTTGAGAAGAAAATTCAAATAAAACTTACATTTGTAGCTTTAGAATGGGACTTGAGAGCTCTGCATGTAGTTCCTTATTATCACAACCTTTTTGTAAGAACTTCTGCAAGACATCATTTTCCAGATCATGACATGTGAAATGACTGTGGAACTTTTTTCTTTCATCCTTTGTATGTTTCCTGGCATGTCTCTGAAAAGCACCCAGCACAACACAGCCCTAATTTGTGATGAATTTGTAAAAAGAAAGAAAGAAAGAAAGAAAGAAAGAAAGAAAGAAAGTGAAAAAGTTAACTGTCCTCCATTCATGCTTAATGGTACTTTAGATGGGACACAGGGAAGTTCACATGCACTCTCTTTTTCCTGGTTGTTGTGTTGAACAGTTTGACTAGAGATATTCTTATTTCCTCCAACATGCTGGTAGCATTTTCTATTCTACCAGCCAAAGAAACAGGCTCTGATAGAATCCTGGAACTGTGCAACACCTGGCTTTTTTTGCCAAAATATTTTCAAGGTGTTGCACGGTGGTGAAAAGTAAATTTTGAAAATTATTTTCCCCCCACTGCTAAAACTCATCCATTCCCAACAAAAACATTGCTCATGTCTCAGGCACTCTCTTCCTTACAGGGTATTTAATGAAGAAAAAAAAAAGCAGGAGGCAGCACTCTCCATAACTCCTCACAGTCCCCAGCCAGCACCTACCTCATCAGTGGAGTTAAGTCTGAGATGTATTGTTAAATCCTTATTTCATCCTTTTGAGACTTGGACCCAATTTAGTCTCCCTTTGCATGTGCTTCCAGGTCTACTGGGATTGCTTCAGCATCATTTTAAAAAAAGAAAAAAAGAAAACAACAAGAGGCAACAAAAAAAAATTCCCAAACCCACTTATTAATGTGGGAGGTCTCAGCTATTCCAGTCGGGCTCTGAGATGTTGAGCATGCATTCACACACAAATTTAGGCAGTTTGCCATCACTGGAGGACAACGTGGGCTCCTGAGCTGTGTACCACCACTGTCCATCTGCTGGTGTTAGAGAAGGGATGGTTGTTAGAACAGGCGGGGTGACTTCAAGCCCATGTGTCCTGTAGAGTGACAAGATGCTTTCCTCTCCTCTGTCCTGTTTGGGACAGCCCATGTTTGTGAGCAAAGGTGGAGAGCTGCCTTGGTCTCTCTTCTGTTTAGAAGCTGCTGCTCTTGCTGGCCAGGTGGGCAGATATTTCTTTCCAAAATTTCCAGTTGCACTATATGCCTTCAGCCAGGTATGAGTCTGAGTTGTGTACATAACATTTCCATTCATTTGTCATCACCCCTCTCTGAAACTACTCATTTAAGAATCATATTTTTGATTGATTGCACCAGCTCTGCTTGCCTAGCTCTTTTTTAAAATGTTCCACCTTGATCCATGCTGCTCTTGCTGGCCAGGTGGGCAGATATTTCTTTCCAAAATTTCCAGTTGCACTATATGCCTTCAGCCAGGTATGAGTCTGAGTTGTGTACATAACATTTCCATTCATTTGTCGTCACCCCTCTCTGAAACTACTCATTTAAGAATCATATTTTTGATTGATTGCATGAGCTCTGCTTGCCTAGCCCTCTTTTTTAAAATGTTCCACCTTGATCTGTTTTTTATTCCCAATTCACCTATGAACTGACTCACCTGTTGTAGGCTGAAAATCTCAGTTGATGATGAATACCCGTTCTGTAAAGCTGTTCAGGAGAGGCAAATTACATGGCCATTATAAGCCAGTTGCATGAAAATCCTTGCGTAAACATCATGTAAGTCAGTGAGCAGAGCTCCAAGTTGGCACATTTTCTTTTTAGGTAATGGATAACCCCGCATATAACTACTAGAGTGTTCCCTGTGAACTAATAATGAGGAGGAAGCAAAGATCATATTTGGATTTAGTACAGCCAAGTGTGAGGGCAAGAGTTTTATTAAAGGAGTTCAAACAAAAGGGCAGGCATGACCAAGATGTTATGCCTAAGGATTTAAATTTAGTTTCCTGTATGAGTATGCAACGTCTGCCAAGAGGCAAATTATTTCCAGGGTAACACTTGAAAAGAGTGATCGTATATCCCTTAGAGTCAGGCTGCTCAACATTTGTAGAGCAGGACACCACCATGACTTTGTGCTTCAAGGTTTGTGCAGGAGCTCTGCTAACTGAAGTGGTACTGGGGGGTATGTCATTCACAGAACTTTTTCTTTTCCCTGTCATTTCCCAGGAGAAGGGCCACCATCAAAGGACTTCCACCTAGGAGTTTATTGTGGATACTGCTGAGTGAAAATACAAATGTCTGTATAAGAGCACCAAGGCTTGAATTTTCAGGGGAGACTGGTGTAATTGTGCATTCAGCTGCTATGTAACTGTATCAGAATTTGTATACTTTCTGCCCAAGGTTATTTTGAAATCCCAGTCTAACACTAAGAGTCCATGGCACTGTGAAATGGCTGACAGACTGAACATTTCATCCATCTGATGTCCAATTACTGAAACTATGATTTGACAGGAGGAGTCCCTTATTATACAATAAATATGTTATTAAACATTATTTTTGAAATTAATGTGGACGTGTTCATCTGAAGGGTGGCTCAGAGGAGTCCTGATGGTGACTAGTTTAATTTCTAATGCATCCTGATCTTTAGTTCAAAAATGTTGTGATGACTTCATGTTCATTTTCTGAAAAAAGGAAAATAAATGTTAAAATATCTTTGCACTCAAGGTGTATCCTACTTTTTATTTGGGGTCAGGTTTCTGGTATCCGAGGCAGCTGAGATATATCCTGATTTTTTTTTTTTTCATTTTTTGGATAGTTTTTAAAAAATAAGAAATTTGAAGTCACTTTATGCTTACTCAGTTAGAGAGATTTCCAGTCTTTTGTTAAACTGCAAAGTTACATGGATCTAAATTAATCATTCTGAAAATATCAAAATTAAGTCTTTGAGTTAAAAACTGAAAGAATTCAGTCTCTAAAATTGGCATCAATTAGGAAATATTTTGTTTTCTCAAATTGGAAAAAAAAAAAAGCTATTCTATTTTATTGACCTGGAACTGGTTAAAAATTATACAAGCTGAGTGAAAAAGTCAGAATATAAAAAAGGAGAGTGCCAGGTCATTGTACTGTGTTGCAGATATCCTGTTGTAAATACACTGATATCAATTTTCAGGGTTGCATTTTTCTTCTGTTAATGCAGAACCATTTCTCTCTTGGGTGGCTGGGAGAGTCATGAGCAGTTTCTAAATGTCAGCTCATGCTTTTCTGCTCAGTGGAGCATACTTATTTCTGTCTTCCAAGGTTGATTTAGACTTTATTGAGAGAAACTTTTGTTTTGAACCAAAGCTAAGAAGTTTGGCTTCCTTCTTTTCAAAGCTGAAATACCCAAGATCCTGCTCTCCTGTAAATACTGAGGTAACTTCTGCTCTGGAGAGCAAAAGTGTTTAAAATACATAGTTGGTTTAAAAAATCTCCTTTCTCAGGCATTTGATTGAGAGAATGGGATGTGGGGGAAGGAGGGTTTGATTGTTTGTAGTTTTACGTCAGGAAGTCTAGCAGAAGCCACTGCAACATCTCATAAAACATTGTGCAGCTGTGTGCAGACCTCAGGGTGCACAGATGCGTGTGTATTATATTACCTTGGAAGGGGCACAAGCTGAACTTTTCGATTTTGACACCCGACGGCATCCAGCAAAGGTGAGGTCTGCTACTTGTGCCTTAGGTTTTCAAATTAAAACCGTGTGTGCTGCAGTGCTCACATGACATGTATAAATGTATAAATGAGGGCCATTAAGTAAATGCATTTACACATCATTTAAATGAAACAACACACCTAACCAGATGGATTCCTAAAATGAGTAATTGTGAACTGCTATTTCCATAACTTTTGCCTTTGCTGGGATACCCTCACTTCTCTGGTATGTCCATCACTCTGACTTGAGCTTCCAGGTTGGGGGACAGGACCTTGCTTCTCTGTGTTTTCTGTGAATATTTTCACATTATTAAATGCAATCAGGAGTAGGATTTTTCTCACCTAAGTCTCACCAGACCATCAAACACGGAGGCATCTAGCTTTGAGCCTGCCTTTTGGGCATCCTCCTTAGCCAATGGAAAGAAAAATGGTTTAACCCATCCAAAGAGATATATGACACATATCCACATGATCCTCTAGGTGTGCCTGTCACTGATTTTTTATGATAAGGGGCATCCTGACTATTGACTTGGACAAGGTGGCTGCTTTTTGATGTAAACTGTGAGATAAAAGCACGCTTATAAAAAAATTAGTAAAGAACTGAAAGGAACACAGAAAGGCAGAAAAAGACAACATTCAGGGACTTTTAGGAGACACTGAAAGCTTTTACCACATCTCTGCATACAGCAATTTCTATAGCATTTTGTTCAACTTTCCATGAGAAAGTCTGTCAGCAGTGCTGCATTTTATTATGGTTTCCAGGATGGCTGCCCAATTTAAAACAGGAAAACCAGGTCTCAAATCTTGACATGCATGGAGGAGGACTCCAGAAGCCAAATTCTAGCTACATGTCTGCAACAGCTGGATAAAACTACCAAACAAAAATAGAGTATTAACTGGTCTACCATCCCTCTTTTAAGTCAGACCCAAAACATGCTAGTGGTGCAGTATAAACTCTTGCTTTTTAGTTTTTGTTGTCTTTGTTCTTGAAAACTGGTGAAGGTCTTATGCAAATATCACCCTCCACGCAGATAATCAAAACACATTATTTTTGTTTCTGTTATATCAATTTTTATTCTTTTTTTAACCTCCACAGATGGTAAGAGAAAAATAAAAATAATGCCAGCTTTTCTCAAAACTTTTTTTTTGCCTTACATTTCAAAGTGCTCTACCAAGGTCAATATCACTATTCCCCATTTTTCATATGTGGAAATTTGAACATTTTTCTGTGAAGAGGCATTCAAATATAGAACTTGAATATTAGTTTCCAGTTAAAAACAGAAGATTATGGTATTTTCAGTACTATCTCCAGCAGCTGAAGTAGATCTTAAGGAGTACTGGTATGCTAATAGCAGTGTATTTAGGAGTTCTGGCACAAGGAAAAAGAATTCTGCAACTGTCACTCATTATTTTGACCAATTTTGATCTCGTGGACATTTCTCTTTGTCACTTGGACATTCCAGACAGTTACAAAGAGAAGTGTTGCATTTTCTGGACTGTTCATCAATTGTTTTTTTTGTGATGATAAAGTAAAAGCTGAATAATTCTGAAAATACAGGGTATATGTTCACATGTACATGCAACGTGTGTAATATAGGTGTATGTCTGTGTGCTATGAGCAGTTGTTTGGCTGTGGTTTGGGCTGCATCTGTTAGCAATGAAAAATATGTGTTTTCTCACAGACATAAAATTCTGGGCTGCTTAAAGGTGAATATTTTCATCAGATCTCTCCCCATCCTGTAATTTATAATCAGTGGAACTAGTGAGCAGTGCTCTAAAACCATAAAAAAAGATAGAAAATAATCATGAAGGGAGAAGTTTGTAATGTTTGCCAGATGAAAATCCAGAGTCTACATGCTTGGAATTTATATTGGTGACCCCTGTTACCTTCTTCAACAACACGAGAAGGAAGAAGATAATAAGCTTATGTATTGAAGAGTAAGTAACCAGCAGTGTAATGGGTCATAATTCTATTAAAGTGTGTGGACGAGATTTTACAATTAATGGCCAAGTTTATACACATCCTACACATGTGCTGTGGGATACAGCAGGGGAACTGGGTCAGGGGAGGGAAGTTTTGGAAACTATGTCAGAGGACAGATGTGAAGAACTGAGGGAAGGTAGCAAAACAATACCACCCAGTCATCCATCTGTGAAAAGGGAAAAATCTTAAATGAAGGATCCTTTCTAGGCTTTAGAAATGTCATATATAATATACAGCCTTGTACTTCCTGTTTATGCTTTGTCTGTTTTATTACCTCAGGAGGATGAGTCAGTCAATGTAAAAATGGAAATATTTTGCTGGAAAAATTTCTGCTCTTTTCATGTGATATGAATCCTGAAATATTAATTTCATCTGCCTTCTATTCCTAATAGGACTGCAGAACACTTGCAGCTCTTGGAGGCACTTCTCAGGACTCTGGCTGTATCTATACAAGTTCTGGAAAGGCTGCTCTCTGGCTTTGGGGTCAGAGGCACAAAAAGGTATCAAAGTTCTTCCATCTGCAAAGGACAGCAACAACACTGACTCTGGGGAATCCCTGGTCCATTCATTCCACGCCTACTTCCAAACAGTGCCCAGGAACTGCTCACAAAAGGGCCAGTAGTAGATACTGTTTGATTTACTTACTTAATATATGTACCTGTTTTGCTCTTTCATCTGTAATGAAAATATTCCCACACCTCAGTCCTTGAAGCAGAAAGAAAAAGTAGTGAAAAAATATTATTTAGAGAAACTAAGTGTGTTCATGTTAATAGTAGTGAGATAACAATGGTGCTTATCTTCAAAACAGAGTCCTGCTCCATCTTGGCAATACAATGCTAACTTAAAGGGGATTATCAGTTCTGATTCTTGCCATTACTTCTGTGCTTTTAGGTGTAGGTTTGGGAACTTATGAGCTCTATATCAAATGCAGAATTTTCTCTAATGATTTACCTAGGTTAACTCTCAGATATTGTGTTTCTTCTCATTTATGAAATGAGCAGCTTTATTTTTCCAGAAGTCACAATGCAAGAGTAATGATGAAGATACAAGGTTGAA